ATATTATTTTATGACGCTGGAGTGGGGATATTTTATGTAAGGATACACATACATACGTTGCTTGCGAAAGTGACGTATACATTAGAGAAAGAATTAGAAGTAGCGAAGCTTTCCTCATTTGTCACTGTGTTCCTTCCATGTATGCACTATTTGTCATAGCAGTATATAAATGCTTCGTTTTTATCATACTTATTTTACAAAGTGGTCACTTGAAATGCATAGAATTGACAGCATAATAAATCAGATTTGAAATTTAGTTAGAGCGTAAGACGTTACAAAGGCTTTATATCACAAATGCTTAATCTAATAGTAATATTTATTTCAATTGGAAAGTGAATGGCTAGTAGAGTCAGGCTTTCTAGTTAATTCCACAGATTTAGCGATTTTGTTCTATTTTAATGAACGAACAAGTTGTTCTTTTTGTTCATTATTATTATTTTTTTATTTGTAAGCAACTTTGTACATTGTCATTGTTGAACAATCTCGTGCCTGCGAAACCGGTGTACAGAATAAATCAAGGCCGTCTAGCAAGTATAACATACATATTTAGGGTATTCACATATAAATAACAATTCTGGCGTGTTACCAGGGTACTCTTAACCAAGTCTTTATTCATCGACATTCATGATTCTTGAACAAGAAGAACGAAAAGAGCGACATAGACAAAAATAACTAGAACAACGAAAATCAAAGATTTAGTTCACTAGTTCAGTTAAAAGACCCGATCAGTTGCAGCCTTAAACAGAAAATATTAAATTTGAAACATAAAGTATAATTTATTAAACGTACTATATCTTTGGCCACAATCAATAATCGTTTAGAGTTGACTTAAAGCAAAGACAGACGGCAGCGTTGATCTGGACCAACTCATTAATTCGGAATTATCTCGGGAATTAACTGCAGTTGATCCGGATTAAGTCCTACAGTTAATTCCCAAACATAACTCGAATCTAGGGAATATTCGATGCCAGCACTGACCAAAACTAAGAGAGCGTAAAACACAGAGAAAGTGCAAAACTACCATGAACATATTACACCTTTTCATACGTAATGCAGTCACCATACTAATTCACATAGGAATCCAATTAAAACTGAATAATAACTTATTTGAATTAAAACGGTTACTGCATTACCGACGGCAAGGTGGATGTCCATGCTAGTTTTGCATTTTCTTTGTGTTATACATTCCCTGAGCAAACCCAATAAACATTTAGGTTTGAGCTCAACTTGAAGTTAAGTTGAGAACTAAGCTAATTCTCAAATCTCCAACGTTGTTTCTCAACAGTACCTCAAGTGGAGGATCATAGCGTTCTCAACCAAGAGGGCATTTTTCTTTTTATGAAAAAAGGACTGTTTCTCAAGTTGAGAAAATGCTAGTTCTCAACTTGAACTCCAATGTAATTCTGCAATTGGTCTCAAACATATCATTGAAATACTGAAATTGAAATAGTAAAATACCTTATACCTTTTTGATTGAAACGACATACATAGATGAATTTAAATATTAATTTTTCATTTTATTACTCCTTTTAGCAAAATCGTATTACAATAATTCACTTCACAGTACACAGTCCGACAGTAATTTTGCCACTTGGTTCACTTGGCGTTTTATTTTCTTTCAAGATTATTTCAGGATGTTTTGAAGATCATTTACTTTTTGTTGGTAATTTTCCTCTTTGAATAGCTTTAGTTTTTCACTTGATAATTAAATATTCGTTTCTCTATCACTTTTTATGTATCTGCGCGTCGGTTAGAGATGAGTTGGAGAATGATGTTGGATATCAACTTGAGAACTATGAATTTCTCCAAGGTTGGAGAAATATTTTTTTGGTGTTTATTGGGAACAAATACGCAAACAAACCATCCAACTACTTCATCCGCGGTAGCCGAGAGTGGATGCTGCGTACTAAATGCCTGCAGGCCCCAAGTTTGATCCTTAGTTGAAGCCATTTTTAAAAAAAATGTGTTTTTGTTGTTACTTAAATTTTTTTACTTTTATTTGGTTTATGTACATATTTTTATTTTCCTTTCGTTATTTTATTTCATATTTTTTTATTTTATTATTAGTTAATTTAAATAAGGATTCGTCGGATTCGAACTTACGTAAATGCATATTACTGCCGGTAGGGGCGCCGTTGATCCGGATCAACGTTGCCGCCTGTCTATGCTTTTAGGTCGACTTAGGACGAGTTGAGTGTACCACATTTTGCTCTTAATAAGAATGATTTATGTACATATTTTATTTTCGCTTGATTTATTTTATTTCATTTTTTTTATTTTATTATTAGTTAATTAAAATAAGGAAATATAAAAGTTACTAGCAGACCCGGCGAACTTCGTCCCGCCCAAAATTTTTATATATTTTATTGAAACTTTTTGGTCCAACATTTTCACCAACAATTCACGTTTACGATTTCATTGGCACATTTGTCTGCTAAGATTAAGGTTTGGTGGTCATTTGCCGCTTTAAATAACCTAAGGAAAGTGTTATATCCGTTCTTGAAATTCTCCAGTTGTGCGGCATTTCATAGCACGGTTATTCGCAAAGCGAAATACATTTTTTCCTCTTCACTCCCTGGCGGCAACAAGGACCCGGTTCTATAGTGAATGTCCTAGAAGCTTTACAGTATAGTAGGTGGCAATTTCAAAATGGGTGCGAATCATTGTTATTTTTCATACTGCCTATCTTTGGAAGTGTTCATGGTAGAGTTCTGGAACTTGGTATGGAGATATACGAAATCAATCGCATACTCATGAAGAAAGAGGGCAGCTGTCGGAAAGGGGGGCGTGGCTCCTCCCATTTAAATCGAATTTTTATACTGCATATCTCTGAAAGTATTCATGGTACAGTACTGGAACTTCGTATGGAGATATGTATATATATAACAAGCCCATACTCATGGAGAAAATTTGGGCTATTTGAAAAGGGGTGTGAGGCCTACAAACCTACCGACCTTTAGCTATCTTTGAAAGAATTTTTTTATTCTTCTGTAGGTGTGTTTGTGAGTGAAATCCTCCTAAATGGTTGTACGGATTTTAACGAAACTTTTTGTGTATTAGAGTGGGTCTCTGGATGGTTTAGTTTCACAATATAATCCGACAGTTGGCGCTGTAGTTGGGTTATTACTAAAAATCTTATTTATGATCCGATTTGGCTAATGTTTTAAATATGTATGCAATACTATTGCAAAAACGTGCTGCCAAGTGGTGCTGAAGTCGAGCTATTACTAAAAATAGCCAAGTGAGAAAAGGGGCCGTGAGGGTCAGATTAAATCGACCTGTTGCACCATTGAGTATATCGACGATCCTGCGTTGCAATTGGCCCAATGGATGTGATTTTCCAATATTTTTATGCGTTCAAACTTTTAAGGTATTTCGTCTGAAATAAGTATATGTATATTGCATTTCTGCAA